CAGCAAAGATAAAAATGAATGATCTAGTTGTTACAAATCTATAAAAAGGAAAAACAGATTTTTCTAGCTAAGTGCAATGGATATGTTGATTAATTGTTAAAAATATGTCCTTCTTTAAATCACCTCTCTCAGACGATACTGTTATTTTCAATAAAATGCTCAGAAATTGATGTCAAATTCTGCTTTTTGATAGGTGGATGTCATGTCTTAGCCGCAAAGTTTATGACCAGGCTCAAATAAAAAAATAGGTTCTTGTGGCTAAACTAAGTGACTTATGAAGTATTTGATTTAATACGGGCATATTACATACATTAAATCAAAAAAGCCTTCTCGTTGGTCAAATTCGTGCAGTAGGCGCAAATTTTGATTCCCACGGCTCAGTAGTAGATTCGGGCCTAAAAGCTAGCGTTTCCTATTGGTACCCAGCCTCAAGCACGTTTATCGACAAAACGTTTCGATTGGCAATGTTTAAAAGACGTATAGGTACTCTGTACACTAAGATAGCCTCTGACTGCCTTAGTGGTGGCAACATTATAGCATACTATGATCAACCCACTAGAGAATGCAACTCTTTCAACTCTTAGAATCGGTTTAACTCACAAAAGGTGATTCATACGAAACAATTCTAAGAATAATCTTTAAGGATAGCTGCACGCTCTACAATTTTTGCCTGATCTATTATGATGATAAGATTGTTATTTTTCCGACAAAAAATTTCAAAAAGGCAAATTTGCGGGCTTTAACCTTGAATAATTTGTTGCTGTTGTGGAATAGATAGGTTTTGGGTAATTCATTTACAGGGTTATTCCCAACAATAATACCAATTTTCTAGGGGAGCCATTGTAAGCTTGCATGTGTATTTTGGACGGATTGTACTATACCTATAATATGTATATGAAATTATTGAATATGATGAGAGTACTTATGTCGTCATCACTTAGAGCTAGCTTAATTTGTGAGCTAATTTCAAAAAACTCACTACAACAACGCTTATTATCTCATATATCGTGCTTAAACAATGCTCCGGTAGTCATAAAAGTGTGCGAGCTGCTGTGGCCATGATCGCATGGCGTTCGCAATTTTCCATGCAGGAGCATAAAACTCTTCGTACAATGCATTGCTGCTATCCAAAAAATAGCGTCGAAAACAAAAACGAGGTCCGATAATGTTAAGAGCGCCTTTTGTGTATCAAACCATATACTTAACAATATTTTAAGCTATCCGGAGCGATATCATGTCTGAAAACCGGACGGGAAATACTCGTACAAACCAGCGGCGTTTCTCGTTATTTCTCTATTAGTTCTTAGATGGGACAGATCCAAATTTTTCGGCTTGTACGTCTGCTGCTTTCATCTGACCTAAGACCAGTTCCAAAGTGGTAGTTTCTCTTTCATACATTACATTTTGGTTAAATCTGCATTTAACACTTCAATAATATCGCTAACGAGATCACTATAGGATCGTGACGGAATACAGCCATGAACTCTTCCACAAGTTCTTAAACCTGTTTTATGATTAAACAAGCTTTCCATGCTACTTCTCAAAACTATTTTAAGAATTACCAGGGTTATAACACTAAGCCAATATTTGAACTATCTTCATGTAGGTATTTGGTTTCGCTAAATTCCGATACGTTCTACGAGTACTTATCGAAATAACATAACACAAAGTGCTTATAAGAACTTCTATTTTGTATAGGGTGGAGTTGCTTAGCTTTTGTTTGTTGTCCACCGAGACCAAGCCTACACCATGCTGAAGAGTTTCCAAATAGCATGAAACAGCTGTCCATGGTTGGCCGTCTGTGGTCGGACGAACAACAGCTACATTACTAGCACGTTCTTCTTATATTCATATTTTTAGCAGTTTAACATTGAAACTCGATAATAGGTATTTCAAATCAGAGTAAAATATGTTCTATTACCACAAAACCACAACTTCTTCTAAATATGAAAAGCACTCACAGAGTACGATCTTGCTGAGCTGCAGAGTAGATATTAGGGAAATACTTGTTGGAAATTGTAGATATGTTGATTTGAAATTTGTTATGTTTCATTAACGTTGCAAAGTGCATGTGTATATAAATTCATTTTATTGATCTTTTTGTCAGTAAGCTCAAGGGAACGTGGATCTAAGCAGGAATATATGTAACGTATATGTTTTTGGGTACTGCTTCCGACAAAATATCCCGCCGTAAGAATCTCGATCTTCTGGGTATCCATTCGGATACTGAAACTACGGAGAAGGGGAAGCCTAAATACTCGAGTACTATAATAATAATAAATTGTTTTTATTGCTCATGTAAGTGCAGAAAAAGAAAAAAAATAAATCTGATGCAGTGAGCAAACGGTAAGGTTCGCTTGATTAACAACCATTAATTGTCAATCCGCGCACTTCCATGTCTGCAGTAAAAAATGGACAGAAGAAAGAAGCGAGTCTTCAGTTGGCTTCATTAATGGTGCTGGAGAAACCTCGTCTAGGAGGTGGTAACCTGTGAAAAATATTCAATATCCTAACAGTAAAGGGTAAGTAAGTCGGTAATTAATGTAATGACCACAGAATTGAAATGAGGGACAGGCGCCTGGCTGGTATGTTTATGTGCTCAGAACGTGATGCCACCACGGAGGAGAGCTCCAAGCGTCAGTGAAACCCGCCTATGATTAGAGCACCTTGGCCTCTTGAAACAACGTATACAATAAGACTGCTTCTACGGGTGTCCATACCGGCCGTGCGTATTCTTATCGGTACCGAGGAAAGGCTAATTAATTATGGAGCCCGCAAGTCGCGGTCGGCTATGGAAAACAACCGACGAGCGGCGAGCGGCCCGATCAAAGATACGGCCATATTGGATCAGTGCCGTGGTAGTACCGCGCGGCCCTGAATAATAAGAACAGTAGCCGGTACGGCGGCGGAGCGGAGACCATTGTTTCTATCTCGCTAGTGGGTGGTTTGGCAGATTCGCAAAGTGGTACTGCAAGGCTGGACAAAGTGCCGCAAGAAAGTACTTCTGCTCATAAGATACTTTTTTCATCTAAGGCATGCAGACGTAACACCTGTAAGGAATGTGGGCTAATAGCTATCCTACTAACTATAGACCTTGTATGATTATTAGTAACTTTACTTTTCGGACATGTGCGGGGATGTATTCTGTGGTCTTTAAGCTGATAGAACTCAATGTTTTTGTGGTCAAATGAAACCACATATGTTGAGGTTATTGTTTACTCGCATTTCGTCTACCAGGATGGCCTTTTGGAAGTTCAAATTACTGACAATGACAATAGATTTTATATTTGACGTAGAAGTTCGTTTGTCTTTTCTACTACTCTGAAGTCTGAAGTATGATGCAACAGCAGCATAAGTGGTCCTGTAGCACGCCAAGGTCGCACGAAGTCATAGTTACAGCTTCATGATGACATCTCGCGAAACCACCAAAACTCAGGACCACCTGGGGTAGCCATTCCCATTCACAAAGGACAGCCCCCAAAGCGGTACGCGAGCATGAAGTTATCTGTTGTTTTAGATGTGTCCAGGCCCCCTCTCTCCACATCGCCCTGAAAGCGCAAAAGGACTTCCAGGACGCGAAGTCTCAACAAGAACTGTTGTTGCAATACAACGGTGGACTGTTGTGCAATTATCAACTACTAATTCTACTTCTACGTTGTTCTTGAATTCGAAAAGCGAGAACTACTTATTATAGTTCTAATTGTGTTTTGCGGCGCGCTCTAGAGATAGCTCTGGGACCAAAGGCTATTCCTAGTAAGAAAAGACGCGTAGCTTCACGTAGCCATACACTAACAATAGTATGACCTCGTATCAGGAGTAGCCCTACTATTCCCCAAAACAACTTCCACACACCTTATTGCCCTGTTTTCTGTCTGGCTGTCAGACTAACTCCTTATTGGTCGTTCATCGCTTGTTTTTTATGATCAACAGACGCAAATGTAATTGAGTATCCCCAAGAAAAGGTGTTGTTCTAATTGACCGCTCAGGAATAGGTCATATCACACTAAGTAGCTTCAAAGTATATCCCCAACTATTTAAGTGCCAGTGACTATTTAAGTTAAGATTGATGTAAATACAATCTAAAACAAATAATGTTCTCCTCGACCCAAGATACAGGGTGTTTCACAACTTATCGGACAAATTTTAACCACCTATACACTGTTACGAAAGAAGTTGATTTCTCAAAAAAAAAATGTAATAAAAGTCGTTCAGAAATCGAAATGATAAAATAATACAGTTTAACAGTTCACCTACTTATAAAAGCTTCCACAATATCAAAAATTTCGTCTTCGGCATTTAACACGCGTTGTGGGCGAACGTGATCCCCATCCACTCCACGTCTGGGGCACAAATCTCCACTAGCACGTGCACGTGAAACGATTAGACTAAATGTTTCGTGATGTGGTATGTGCCTATTCGGAAATCGGTGTGCATACAAACCAGAAGCCGCTCGCGAATTTTGCCCTGCTTCTCCGTACGCTAAAACAATCTTCACTAACTCCTCATTAGTGTACACATGAGCCATTTTTATTAATAAATAACTAAAAACATAAACTCGCAAAATGCTTTCTTATTTAACTTCACAAAAATCGACCGTTCTTCATCCAGATCACCCACCATACAGATGAACTCTTTTAGGGGTCTTGGTACATAAAATGTACCCAGATAAATGTGCATGTCATGGGGCAGGTATACATAAAATAAACCACCTCATTAAATAATTTTAGAATACCGGGCGATGGTCCAAATTCTGAACTTGTGTATTGTGTGTTGCCTGTAGGTGTATTCGGTAATTTTAGTAATAATGAACAGGTAAATTTCAGTGCGTATGTATGTACATGAGGTTAGATTAAGTCTTGCGAACCGTCTTTAGTAGAGTTTTCTTGTAGAAGTTGATGATGGTATGTTATAAACTTGTTGAATTTTTTGTTAATAAGCTGACGTATTGTTGATGTACCTTATTTGTACCACCGCCCCTCAATAGTTGTTCCTCTTTTCAGGGAGTGAAAATGGATTCAAATTAGTAGATATGACCTATGAGGAATTAATGTGCGAAATTAGTTATGTTGACGCTAAGGCGATACCTTCAGATTCTGGATCAATCTTGGACCAGTCAGAAGATGAAGTACAAAATATCGACACTGACTTTACCAATATTTTGCAGTCTGACAGCGAATCAGATTCGGAGTGTGACCTCCCTCTCTCAGTTTTACAAATGAAGATGGCACAAAATAAAGACACTCGTGATTGGTCCAAAGATAGGGTACCAAAAGAACCAAGAGACTTCATTGCTGACGCAGGAATAACTGATATAGTAAAAAATTTGGATTCTTCTAATCCGGGAAAATTATTTCAGCTTTTTTCCACCGACGCTATATCAGAAGACATAGTTTTTAAAACTAATTTATATTGTCGTCAAACATCTAATAAGCCTAGAAACATGCCACGCTCTTCCTTTTTTTTTAATCAAAATCACTTTTTAATTTTATTGCTAAAGTTATTTCTCTTAATTGAGGCAATGGATGATTAAAAAAAAACTAGGGGTTTACTGAGGCTAAAGCCGTGGTTTAACGTTGGCAAATTAGGCGCTATGCTCAGGTACACCGGAGAGTAGGGGGGGTATTTTTTAGGGGCGCCACCAGCTTTTATCCGCCAAAACTGGAAGACGCCTTGGTGTTGAAAGGCACTCTTTAGTCCAAAACCCCAAGAAACAAAAAACAAAAATACATACAAACAATAGATTTTCTGTGTGGGTAAATAATTGCTAAAATTAACATCAATACATTTCATTACATCTACTAACGGCTAACAACAAAAATTTAAGAGAGCCAAACTAGGAGATCTCCCTTAATGCGAAAGCTTATTGACTAACTAATTTAAAATGGGCGAGGAAGGCTTCAAAACCGATGACGTAAGAATCCCCGGTAGAAAACGTGTCAATGGATCTCCAGTAGCGAAGATTCCCCCAAAATAAAAACCCTAGGAAGAATAATAGTATTCAGGCGATCGAATGTAACAGTATAAAAAATACAAATTTAGTTAACAAAAATTAACGTAATTGGAAAAGTAATCTTCCCGGTATAACAGATTTAAAATTACACTTTGAGTTACTCGGAAAATATCATAAAACCAACGCATGCTCCACATAATACTAAGTTAACTCCATTTTAGAACAAGAGAAATTATTTACTTTTGAGAAAACATATATGAGAAATATGGTCTTTTGGCTAAATTTTCATTTACTTAAAATAAAATAATGCTCGCCTAGATGATGTCGGGTAGGGTTTTTCACGTGGTTCCGTCTGGCGAAAAGTGCGGCTGAAGACAATAAGATCCTACAAATTGTAGAATTTCTCGGGTCCAATGGTAGACAAAAAAAATATATAATACAAAATGAAATTTTCTTCCACAATCCTACGAAGATGCTCCAGGCAAAAAAGGAGGAAAATTTCAGGTCTTCTCGCACTAGCGGAACAGAACAAGATGGCCCTCCGATAGTGGAAGGAAGTCCCCTCCCAAAATTTAATTTTTTCGACTTGCCATTCCCAAATATAGTTGTATGCCTGACCATTAAGAGCCAAACGTTGTCGGCTAATCCCAAAATGAGAAGGTTCCTAATATAAATTCAAGGAAATATCATGAATAAATGTGGCAACACTGTCATATCTGCATATAAATTTGATTGATTAATAAACATAAGGATCCCAGTTCCGAGCTAGCAGCCGTTGCGAGTGTATACTTGCACGACTGCGACCCACCCGGACATATTGAGCAATCTTATTGCAATTTTCATTGCGATAGATTGGTTGTTTGCCATCTACGATGGCAAAAATTGAGAAGCTGGTTAACCAGCTGAAAGAAAAGAAGGATGCTTTCGCCATGCTGGAAGAGCAGATGCGAAATCTGCAAGAAGCCTTCTTGCAGGCCAGACAGGAGATCGAGGACCTGAGCGGGAAGCTCCGCAAGGCCAAGAAGAAGGCCGCGAAGAAGACAGGAGAAGAGGAGGAAGAGGACCACCAGGCTACGTCGGACGAGATGGACGCCCAAGAAGAGAGCACTCAACGAAACGAAGGAATGGAAGAAGAAGCCGAGAAGAGGACGGACGACAACGATTTCAGTGTCGCCACCAGACGGAGGAAGCGGGTGCGAGTTTCCTCCTCCTCCGAAGAAGAAGAACCCAGGCAGCCAAAGATGCCAGCTGCCACCAAGAAGAGAGGTCCTAGAGCAACCAGGACCACCGAGGCCCCCATGGCAGGAACAGGAGTTCCGCCAATCAACATCGAGGGCACCGCTGATTGGTCATCCTTAAGCAGGATGATGAACAGCAAGGGGATTCAATTCTCCAAAGCGAGGACGGCGGGTACCAGTGTGAAGGTATTCACAAATACACCAGCTGACTACCGTCAGCTAGTCGCACTGCTGGAATCCATCAAGCGGCCCTTCTTCACCTATCAACTGAAGGAGGACAGGATGGACCAGAGGGTCATTCGTGGGCCACCCAGAGAGATGTCAGTCAATGACATCAAAGAGGATCTGGTGAGCCAAGGCATCGCAGACGCCGAGGTTCAGCAGATGACCTCAAGGACCACTAAGAAGCCACTTCCGCTCTTCCTCGTCAAGACGAAGATGCCGGAAAAGCTTGCAGAGATCCAGAGGCTGGCCATGCTCACGGTCAGCTTCGAGAGGAAGAAAAAGTCTTCCGAGCCCAGCCAATGTTACCGCTGCCAGCGGTACGGGCACACACAGCGGAACTGCCGTCTCGCTGAACGGTGCGTTAAGTGTGGAGAGGACCACAACAGCACCAGCTGCAGTCTGCCAGCGCCGCCAACAGGGCAACGAAACGCCAAGTGTTGCCTCTGTGGAGAAGGCCACCCCGCCAACTACAAGGGATGTAGTAAGGCGCCGAAGAAAGCTGCTTCTGCCCCCAAAGCAGTCCCCACCACAAATAGGACTTCTTACGCTCAAAAAGCGAAGAAGCCTATGTCCACTTCTGCCCCAGCAGCCGCCACTGCTACTGGAACTACTGCGCAGAAGCAACACGGCGATGACAGACTGCTAGCAATGATGCAAGCCATCATAACCCGCCTGGATGCACTCGAGGCCAAGATGCAAGACAAGCACTAGACCCGAAATGTCTACAGGTCAAAACGTAGAATCTCTACGCATTATCTCCTGGAACATCAACGGATTCAGGGCACGGAAACCAGAAATCCAGGAGATACTAGACCAGTACCAACCAGAGGTGATGGCCATCCAAGAAACGAAGTTGGATGCTGCCCATAGTCTGACGTTCCCGCGGTACGAGACGTACCGCTACGACAGAAGGGGCAGAGGTGGAGGAGTCGCATTACTCGTCAAACGTACCTTGACGAGTCATGTCCTCGACGATGCCGCAGACATAAATGGGGACGGAATCACGGTCCAGGTCCATCACAACCACCGTCCCTACAGAATCACCTCCCTATATGTGCCACCAGGGGAGGCCCTAGACGAAGATGACATCGCTGACCTCCTGAGAGGCCCAGGAGCACGCATAGTCATCGGAGATCTAAACTGCAAGTCTCCGGCATGGAACAACAACGTCGAAGACAGGAATGCAAGGCAGCTCCAGGAACACGTCGATGCCCTGGCGGGGGTCATCGTCGGTCCGGAGCAACCAACCTACATTCCATTCGGCCTTGGGCGACCTGCGGTACTGGACATAGCCATCCTCCGCAACATCAGAGAGGAGTTCGAGATAGAGACCCTGGTGGAAGGATCGTCGGACCACAATCCGATTCTACTAACACTTGGCACAGGGTCTAGAACTCGAGATAGCTTGAGCACCAAACGGACGAACTGGAACCTGTACAAATCCAACGTCCAAAGGAACATCACTCAAATTCCAGCCATCCGATCAGCGGAGGAACTGGACAACGCAGTAGAGGAGCTGGAGAATGCTGTCCTGCGAGCGCACGAGGACAGCACCCGCTCCGAGACTACGGCAGTTCCTAGACACCTAAATGGTCCAGCACCGCACCATATTAGGCACCTGATCAGGGAGAACAGAAGACTCAAGCGAGAACATCTCCAGCTGTTGACAGAGGAGTCGAGAGTTGCGCGAAACAGAGCATCGTTAGCTCTGAAGAAACGCACTCGCGGAACTCCAAAACAACAGATGGAATGCAGCCTGTGCAGAACTAGAGACCCAGGATGGTACGGCCTGGTCTATGCAGCGAAAATTTCGTCGTCAGCGCACCACGATCCCCACTCTTCACGGCCAACGCGGCTTGGCCTACTCCAGTGAAGAAAAAGCCGAAGCATTCGCCGATTCGCTAGAATCCGAATGCAGACTCAATTACCATGAAGACGAGGACGACAACCACGAGGAGGCCGTGGAAGTCGCAGCTGAAAACATGAGGAGTCGACCACCTGGCCAGGAGACGGATCACCCCTCCAGTCCAGAGGAAATCCGTCTGATCATCCGCAGGTTGAAGGTCAGAAAGGCGCCGGGAAGGGACGGCATCAACAACAGGATGCTGAAGAACCTTCCCACCAAAGGCATTGCTGCGCTCACCAACATCGCCAATGCCACCCTGAGACTTAACCACTTCCCGCGGCGGTGGCGGGAAGCCCAGGTTATAATGCTCACCAAGCCAGGCAAGGACCGGAAGTTACCCCAGAACTACCGGCCCATCAGCCTGGTTTCCTCGATGGGCAAAGTAGTCGAAAAGGCTACCGCCGTTCGACTAGAGAAGCAGGCAGAAGAACTGCAACTTCTCCCCCCAGAGCAATTCGGCTTCAGATCCTCGCACAACACGGAACTCCAAGCGCTACGACTGACAGAAAACATCACCAGCGGCTTCAATCTCCAGGAGGCAACCGGTCTCGTCCTGCTGGACGTGGAACGAGCCTTCGACCGAGTTTGGCACGATGGACTCATCGCCAAAATGGAAGCCGCCGGAATTGATGCGAACATGTGCCAACTAATCCAGAGCTATCTAACACAAAGATGGTTCACGGTGAAGATTGGTACATGCCATTCAACAAGACGTCAGCTGGAAGCAGGCGTGCCCCAGGGGTCAGCCTTAGCCCCCCTGCTCTACAACATCTATACTTACGATGTGCCGAAGACAGCTGACACAATGCTGGCCCTATATGCAGACGACACTGCTATAGCCGCCAAGCATAGACGACCCGAGATCATCCGTAGGAGACTACAGGGTGAACTGGACCAAATTCAGGACTGGTGCGTGAAATGGAAAATCCGCATCAACGTCCAAAAGACGCAGGCAATCTTCATTCAACGAAGAAGGATTGCAAGACCTCTCGAAGCATCCATCTTCGATGAAGATATCCAGTGGAGCGACAATGTCAAATATCTGGGGATCGTTTTTGACAAGTCCCTCACCTGGAAAGCGCACATAGAAGCTGTCATCGCAAAAACCAGAGCAGCCATGGCTCAACTCTATCCATTACTGGGTAGACACAGCCAGATGCCGCTAGCGACCAAGCTACGGCTGATCAAGGCCATCGCCAGACCTCAGCTCGCTTACGCCTCCGCGGTCTGGGGGTACGCTGCCCCCAGCTACCGCAAGCGACTTGCTGCTCTAGAGATGAAGCTACTCCGGATCGCCACCAATGCACCTTCCTACGTAAGGAACTCAACCTTGCGTAGAGACCTGCATTGGGATACCATCCACGAGTACATGAGGAAAAAGGCGGAGAAGACCTTCGAGAAAGCTCAGGACCACCCGAACGAGCAGCTACGATTCCTCATGGACTACGATCCGGACGAGAGGCCTCGCAACCGCAGAACCAGGTACCCCAGACCAAGGTCCCAGTTGGCACCCGCTAACTGGAACCTTGACTAGGAGACTAGGAGAATTTGCGGCTGCTCCCCCTCCCCCCCCACGGCGTGGATGCAGAGGACCAGGAACCACCGGGACCAGGACCCACCGGGACCAGGACCAACCAGGACCAGGACCCGCCACGACCAGGACCCACCAGGACCAGGACAAGAGAAACTAGCAGACCCTCTATCGATGATCGCTTAACGACATCGATAGAATGTGCGAGGTAAAGGGAACCAACCCGGCGTTCCCAGAGACTGAAACACATGAGGAGACGTTGTAGCAAACCGCAGGTCACGCACAACACATGGCCTACCGAGACGCTGATGAGTCGGGCCACGCGGAGGTTTAGGGTTTAGTGGGTATTAGGTGATCTCTTCAAGACCCTGGAGCCCCACACACGTCGTAGCTCGTGCTATGGTATGGTGCGTAAATGCATTCGCCCCTCGTTAAAAAAAAAAAAAAAAAAAAAAAAAATTCTGAAATAAAATTGGCAACTATGCGGAACAAGCGAGGTGTGCAAGTAGTTCGGTACGCAGAATAGTACCTCGACATCAGCGACATCAGCCTTTGACATTGGAAGATTTCAGAAAATAATAATAAATTCATCTGACTATAAAAGAAATACATAGTTCAATAGGTGAGTAATAACATTTATGCAACACAAATAGTTTTTAATTCAGAAGGTGATATCAATTTATAGATGTGCACTTATTTATTTATTTATTTATTTTTAGCTTCGGAGTGACAATCCGGATTGTTGTTGGGATGTAAACAAATCCCCGAGGCGAAAATTTCGAGATTGAATTGATTTCTTGACGGAGGAAGATCTAGCGTGGGATGGAAGCAACCGAGTTATTTATGAAAATATGTGGATATGAATACTAAAATTATTACTCATGGTGAACCAGGGGAAATTACTAGGCAACACAAGAAGAAATTGTCCATATCAGGGTGAGTAAATTCTTCAATTAATTACCTGAATGCATGGAAAATTGACTGCACATTCATAAACTGAGTGGTAGAAACTGTAAAGATGATCAAAATGGAGTGCGATTGCTGTACGTTAAATTTAATAATTGAAATTTTTGGATTATAAAATAGATCAGGATGGATTATGTTTAATTGATTGAGAAATATTTGGTTTCAGTTCCCAAATTGTTCAGTGACATGGAAGATGCTGACTACTATATACAGGCAGCCAAACGACTACAGAAGAAAAACAACGGACACAAATTACAAATTATAGTTACTCCGCGGCACCCACGTGCCATGTTTGCTGCTTCAAATAAACATGATAATAGGTAAATGTCTGCGTGTTACTTATTTTGGCCATGAATTACGTGAGAAAAATGCAGCTAAATACACCGTTAAAAACAAGCCCTGTCCTGGGAAATGGCCAATGGGACGGTCTAGTCATCATTGCTAATAAAATTGATCCAATAATATGCTATGAATAAAAATAATATGCTACGGAGATTATTAGATTAGATTATCGGCTTTTGTTTCTTCCTTCTCAAGTTCTTGCTGCATTACTTCAAATTAAACCTGTGCGACAACAACAACAACAAAAAAATATATGATTCATCGGCAATAAAAGGCAACTGTTACAAACATAGATATATATCGGACCTGAAAGCTTTTTTGGGTATACATTTATTGATGGGGATAAAAAGAAGTCTCAGCTATAGATATTATTGGAGTAGCTGCCCCGATCTGAATGATGCATATATAAGTTCGATAATGCCAGTGAAACTTTTTAGTTGGTTTCTGTCAAACCTTCATTTAAATGATAATTTGTTGATGCCTACAAAGGGAGCGCAAGACTACGATAAGCTGTATAAGCTAAGACCATTTCCGAATTGCCTGTCTAAAAATTGCATGACTCCTACAAAAGAAGTGTGCATAGACGAGTCCATGATTAAATTTAAAGGAAGGCATTCACTAAAACAATATCTTCCCAAAAAGCCAATCAAAAGAGGGTATAAGGTCTGGATACTGGCTAATAAAAGTGGCTATTGTCAAAAATTTCAAATATATACAGGAAAATCAAATGACGAAGAAAAATGCTTGGGTGCTAGAGTGGTAAAAAACCTACTAGAAGGTATGGAAGCAAAACACCATATAGTGTATTTTGACAATTTCTTCAAGAGTGTACCACTGTTAGAATATCTGAAATCGAAAGATATCCACGCATGTGGAACAGTCAACGTGAAAAGGAAATTTCTTCCTATTTTCAATCCAGATACGTCCTTTAAACGTGGCGAATCTCAAATCTTCATTTCTAACACAGACGTTGTTGCTATAAAATGGCGAGACAAACGAAGTGTCCACTTGCTATCTAATTTTCACAATCCCACCACTGTTGCCGAGGTTGACAGGCGAGAAAGACTGGAGCCATTTGTAAGGTTTCTTGTCCAGCTGCTTTAACAAAAACATGAATTTTGTTGACAAGTTTGACCAAAATCTTAATGTCTATAAAATCGATCGCAAATCAAAGAAGTGGTGGCATCGCATATTTTTCTACTTATTGGATATGACGGTTGTGAATTCATTTGTTTTGTATAAAGAATTGAATTTGCCAGAACTATCGATGAAGGATTACAGAAGACAAGTAGTAAATTGTCTTTTGGCCAATCGCACTGTTAATCTGAAAAGGACATCACTTAGCTCAGAACTAATTCCAGTCAAGTAGTCAAAACCATACGTGCCTGTTGAAATACGTACAACCGAGAGTGCTCATCAACCACAAAGAACCACCAGACGTCATTGCGCCTACTGCAGCACCTCAAGAAAAAAAAACAGATTTGAATTTGAATTTTTGGAAATTATACAAAAAAAGTACAAAGAAAAACTGTTCCACTAGTTCTCTTATTACTTTCGTTCATGTAGTAACCTCTACAAGTTGAAAAAGTAAATAAAAAATGTGTGCCCCTCTAGGGCTTTTTTTAACCCCCTGAAAGAGTTAAACCTTATTTACACGTTCTTATCAGTATGAAAATACAAAAAAATTCTGGTATTTTTATTATCAGTTGTTTGGTGCAACATTTGCTACAATAAATAATTATTAATGCGTGTTCTAATATCACGACGATGAACGCAAAATACAGATATTAATTTTTCAATTTATTATTGAAGACTTAATTAATAAACTTAATTTCTGTAGGACTTTTATTACATTTTTTTATGAATCAACTTCCTTAGTAACAGTGCATGTGTGGTTAAAATTTGTCGGATAAGTTGTGAAGCACTCTGTATACTCGCAAAAAGCATGAGTAACATGTAGATGTGGTCATTATGAATTGTACTTCATTGCCGGTTGAAATAATGAAATTATTGTATTCATATTCTCTTCGAACCAGTGCTTGTCGGTACTTGACTGTACCATTTGCATTTAGGCTGCTATGGTACCATAAATATTAATAAATCTTGCACTTCACCGATTTCAGTGTTGTGTAACGGCTGGTTGTACGAATTTTGTCGAAATTTTAAAACTACCACTGTGGCAAGATCAAAAGGATCTTGACATTTTTGTGAGCCGACCTAATAGCTGCGAAGGTGCCAAGTAATTACCATACTAAAATAACTAACTATCCCTATCCTCGATAACAGGAAAATACAAACTTGATGAAGCTTTGATAGTTGGATGCTACTAGGGGGAGTATGGAAAGTTATTAGGAAACGGTTCATTAGTAGTACCTATGCTTCTCGTTAACTGGAATGTGATTGAACTTACCAATACTTCTGCTACAATTCCCTAAACTGTGTTATAGTATTTTTTCATGGAATTTGCCTGCTAATAATATGTATGAAGCGGAGTTCCTTTTCCGAAGACTATAAGAATTGTAACTCATGGGCGATTTTGAATTGAAATAAACAATAACAAGTGAGAAGTAAGCAGTGAATTTGCTTGACAGTGCTCGTTATCTTGTACATTTCATTAACATCGGTTATCCGTAGTATCTATAATACAACTACCAATGAATTTTGACTCATCCATATAATTGAATTTCACCGCGACTTGCAATTAATTTATTACAATCAAACCCAGTAATGATGAAATTATGGAAAATCGATGCAAAACGCTCATTTATCGCTCGTCTTAACAAGTCCACAAACTGCATACTTTAGTGGTATACATAAATAAGGGACTGCTGGGCTGTCGCTGTAAATTAAAATTACAGCCCTTAACAGCCCAGAACTAACACCTTATAATCTTGGTATTTACATATTGCGTTTACGCTTTGGGAGCTCAGGTAAAAAAAATTGAGAGATATGGTGAAGATTTAGACACAGCGCCCTATCAGGCATAAAGAGACAATGGAGAATGTAATTTATTTAACGTCTTTATTCTAGAAGATCGACTGCCATATTACTGACATTAATAGAAAGGTTCAGGTATTCGCACTAGGTACAATTCAATTTCGGATAAAACCTGTTGGTCCACTTATGGTGGATTCATGCATTTGTTGTAAATGAAGAATAAGAATTGCTTGATTCAAGCTTTTGTCCCCCTAACATTTTTTGAGGAGATAATACAAGTTATACATTTTTGGGATTCGGTCAGGTAGCTGTGAGTTTCTACGATAGTTGGCAAAAATTATTATATTTCTGTCACTTCGATTTTGGTATTTTGAGTGTATGTCAATGACTGGCGATAAATATTAGCAGAAAATTTTGTCTCGTCTTCTCCTTATCAAGCTTTTTTTGAATTCTTCTGAAGCGTCTTTATAGATTATTTTTAATATTATTTTTGTTGAGTTACTATAGTCCTGAACGAAAATGGACCTAAAAACCCCGAAACACGGAGCTCAGTCACCGAAAGTTTGGTATTTTGAGTGTATGTCAATGACTGGCGATAAATATTAGCAGAAAATTTTGTCTGGTCTTCTCCTTATCAAGATTTTTTTGAATTCTTCTGAAGCGTCTTTATAGATTATTTTTAATATTATTTTTCGGATCCGAGGTATTCATAAAATCTATTTTTGTTGTCTCGCAATGCTACAGTAATTTAGTAAGAATAGGCAAAATTGGATCTGTCTTGTTGCACCCATAGACCAGTGAATTATGTTTTCCCAAGGGAGCTCTATTGTCAGAAAACCTATAAACGTTTCAGATAATATAGGCAAACGTAATGAAACCTATACAAAATCCGCATAAGATTCGATGCGATTTTTAGTTACGAAGGTGATAAAGTTTTGCGGTTTTTTCATTATTTTTGCTTGTATACAAAAATTTCAATAATTTGAAGTATACAATATGCCCAATATGTCCTATATAACCATGAACACGGTGATTTTGCGAAGTCGATAAAAAATCGCTGATACAGATAATAACTTTTACACTTTTGAACAAGCACCAGTGGCTTTAGAATTTCATCTAAAATATAGGTGTCATGTAAAGAAGTAGCTGTTTTCAATCTCAAGTATCGGTTAAAATTTCGAACCAATCCATGCATCAGTTCTCACAAATTGGTAACTGTTTATCCCAGACAGATTTTCTGCAACATGTTCTCCGTTCATGTACATACAATGGTTATCTGGGTATATTGTCCCAGAAGAAAGACCTATGGAGTAAATCCATTACGTCACAGTAGATGGCCTTATTTTTACCTCACAAATAAAATAAATTTGTTGCAGTTGCTTTTGGAAAGATTTACACTCAAAATACGAGCGAGCCTACTGTAGTATATTAAGTACGCCCCTGGTTCCCCGAAAATTGCGCATGTACGATGAGTACTCTCACCGGGATACGTTTAACACACAGTATGTCGGGGTTCCGTATTTGTAACAGTTATCGGTGATATATAATAAACCATTAGTATACTTCCGGGTATTATTGATACCAACTAAGACATTACATGGCGACGAGGGTTATTAAAGAACTCGCCGGGTGAGGTTAAGTGTGTGTAAACTCCCCATTTGTGTTGAAACCTCCAGTTGTTGGTGAACCAATCTGTGCACAAGAAAGATGGCAGTTGCAGCAGCGGGTCCCGTGCTCACATTCAATCCCAAGGAGAACGAGTGGGAAGTTTTCTTCAAAAGGTTAGAGCAGTATTTTATAGTACACGGGGTCACTGAAGAAGCTGACAAGAGAGCTCATTTGCTGTATAGTTTGTCTGAGGAGGCGTATATTTTATTAGAAAATTTATGTATGCCGCAAAAGCCGGAAGAAACCCCATACCAAGACATAGTTCAGTTATTGTCTAACTACTATGGTAAAACTGCTGTTGTATGGGTCGAAAGGCAGAAGTTTTATAGTGCATCCAAATCAGGAAAAGAGACGGCACTAGAATGGAGTGTACGACTTAAAGGTTTAGCTCGCTATTGCAATTTTGGTCAGCAGCTTGAGTCCAAGCTAACGGACATTTTTGTTACGCAGTTCAATCCTGGGAAGGTGAGAACTGAATTATTCAGCCTAAACGAGAACACCACCTTAAATAACGCTGTTGAAAAGGCCAAAATTATCGAAGCAACGCTAGTAATAAGAGACCCAGTTGGTGAAGTTAAAAGCGAGGTCTTAGAATCCGATGTTTTTCGAATTACACAAAATAATTCAAATGTTGGTGCCACTGCCGATCAACATCAAGATCCTCAACGGTATCATAGAGGGACAGCAGTACCTGCAGCGCAGCGGAGCCAAGGAGGCACGCGCAGGAGTGGGGGCAACAGCTCAAACATGGCGCTGCCGCAGCTACAGCAGTTCACATCGTCTGGTCGCTCTCCGGGCTGTTTCCGCTGCGGGAGGAACCACAACAGTAATGTATGCCCCTATAAGGAATATATTTGTAACTCTTGTCACGGTAGGGGTCATCTCAGTGTGGTGTGTAAAAAGAAAAAACAATCCTCACCTAAGCACGTTAATTATGTTTTTCCTAATAATGATATTGCTGAGGATTATACAGACGTTCTTTCATCCACAGTTCTAAGTATTTCTAGCTTAGGAAGCAACAATGATGTGCCACTATATATCGATATTTTAGTTGAGAACGTCATGTTGAAATTTGAACTTGACAGTGGATCAGCTGTTAGTGTTTTGCCACTTCATGTTTACAAAACATATTTTGGTGCTCACGTCATGAAAAAAACAAAAGTTTCCTTGATTAATTTTTCTGGCAATAAGATCATCCCACATGGCACAATCAACTTAAATGTTAAATTTAATTTCAAAGATAGCATCCTACGCTTTTTTGTTGTTGATGGTAATAATCCATTGCTCCTAGGTCGAGATTTTATTAGGAATTATAATATGGGATTTAGAGAAATTCATTATTTGAACAACGATGCTGTTGATGCTCTATGTAATGAGTTTCCTGGCGTTTTTGCAACCAATTTGGGAAGGTTCAACAAGTGTAAGATCTCCATAAATATTAAACTTGATGCAAATCCCATTTTCCATAAACCTAGACCGTTACCATTTGCAATTAAAGGTAAAGTGGAGGAGGAATTAGATAAATTAGTCTCTAATGGTATAATATCTCCAGTGGAGTTTTCAGAATGGGGTACCCCAATAGTACCAATTTTGAAGGAAGATGGAGGAATAAGAATTTGTTGTGATTATAAGGTAACTATTAATTCAGCTATTCTAGTGGACAAATTTCCCTTGCCTAGAATTGACGACTTATTCACAAAACTGAAAAATGGAAAGCAATTTTCCAAAATTGATCTCTCATCGGCTTACAATCAAATAGAGCTCGAGGACTCTTCAAAAAAATTTACGACTATTTCGACTCACAAAGGTTTATTCGAATTCAATAGATTGCCGTTTGGAATAAACTGCGCTCCAGCACAATTTCAAAGAATTATGGAGCAGCTGTTCAATAAAATGCCCCGTGTATGTGTTTTTCTTGATGATATTTTAGTTACAGGTGTCGATAAAGAAGATCATATTAGAAATTTGAAAAGGGTTTTACTTTGTCTTTCCGAATGTGGTCTCACTGTTAGAAAAGAAAAGTGTGTGTTTTTGGCTGATTCCATTTCATATTTAGGGTTTGTTATAAACGAGACAGGCCTACATAAAAGTTTAGAAAGAGTTAAGGCAATACGCGACATTTCTCCACCAGAAAATGTCACTCAACTTAAGTCTTTTTTAGGCAGTATCACTTATTATAATCGTTTCATCAGAAATCTCCCAGATATACTTCACCCTTTATATAATCTTTTGAAAAAAGATGTAAGTTGGTCATGGGATAAAACATGTCAGGATTCATTTGAGTATATTAAACGTGCATTATGTTCTGACGATGTGTTGGTGCATTATAATCCTGACCTACCAGTTACTTTGACTATTGATAGCTCGGACTATGGAGTGGGAGCAATTTTATCTCATGTTTTTGAAAATGATGTCGAAAAGCCAATTTGTTATGCGTCAAGAACTCTCTCGAAAAACGAATTGGCATACTCTATTTTGGATAAAGAAGCTACCGCGATTGTTTGGAGTATTAAACGATTTTACCAATATTTGTGGGGTAGAAAATTTACCTTGGTCACAGATAATAAGGCACTCATGTCAATTTTTGGACCTAAAACGGGTGTTCCAGTGATGGCAGCAAATAGACTGCAGAGATATGCACATTTTCTGAGTGGCTTCAATTTTGATATCAAGCATGTGTCATCCATTCAAAATGTAGCTGACTTCTTAAGCAGAATGCCGATTGAAGATGACATGTCTGTGCAACTGATCGACTTCCCCATTCATTTAAATTATCTCACTAATTCCGATTCTAGTATACCAGTCGATGTTAACAAGGTCAGAGAACTTACATCCTCAGATTCAGTACTTTCTGAGGTACTCAATTTTGTTAAAAAGGGGTGGCCTGCAAGTCATAAAAGTAATGAATTGAAACCTTATTTCAGTAGGAAAAATGAAATCAATGTTGAAGACGATGTCCTGCTTTGGGGACATCGAGTTATCATACCATTTCAGTTACGAGAGGTGATATTGAAGGAGTTGCATGCTACCCATTTGGGAATTGTTAAAATGAAGTATCTTGCGAGATCTTACTTTTGGTGGCCGTCCTTGAATGATGATATTGAAAGTGTTAGTAAGCAGTGCAACATATGTCAACGCTTGCAATCATCGCCGGCCAAGGCACCGTTACAATGTTGGCAAATACCCGAGGGCATTTGGTCGCGGATACATATAGATTTTTTTGAACCGAAGAAAAACAATTTCTTTTTGATTGTCGTTGATGCCTTATCCAAATGGCTTGAAGTATTTCCGATGGCATCTGTTACCACTAACATGACTATTACAAAGCTGCGAGAACTTTTTTCTAGATTTGGATTGCCTAAGACTATTGCAAGTGATAATGGTCCCCAGTTAGTGTCAGAAGAATTTAAACAATTTGCAAATGTTAATGGTATTAAACTAATAACTATTCCGCCTTATGAACCTCATTGTAATGGTGCAGCTGAGAATAGCGTAAAAACTGTTAAAAATTTTTTGAAAAAGGTTAGTGATCAAAAGAACTGTAATTTACTATTAGCTCAATTCCTTATGACATATAGGAATACTGTTCACTGTTCTACTGGTTATTCTCCTGCTAAAGTATTTTTAGGTCGTTCGTTGAGAACTCGATTTGACATGCTTAGACCAAGCTCAGTCCAAGACAATGAAAAAGTTGAACTTGAAAATGTTTACCAAAACATACAACGTTCTCAACGAAGAAACGCAAAATACTTCAGAGGAAATAGGAAAGTATGTTTTAATATTGACCAAATTGTGTTGGTTAAAGATTATCGCGATAAACAAGTAACTTGGTGTAAAGGACAAGTTGTTAAAATTTTAGGGAAAAACGTTTACGTTGTTCGACCACTAGATTCAAATTTCCTTTGGAAAAGACATACTAATCAGATCAGAGAACTAAATGATGATTATTCGTTGGTCTACCCACCCTGCGTGGAGCTACCGCACACTGTAAACGTTTTTTCCAATAGTGATGGCGCCAGCAATACTTCTGCCGGTAGTTCGGTTGATGATGTGTTTGTGGATGCCGGAATCGCGGATAGTGAACGCGTGGATGTCAGTGACTCGGATTCTAGCTCCATTGGTGAACAGGCTGAACTTACACGACCCATACGTATCCGTAAGGTACCGGATAGGCTCCAATACTAACCATTCATTAATTGTTTCTTTTTTTTATTGTTACCCATCTGATCACTGTTAACAATTTTCGGGGGAGATGAATGTAGTATATTAAGTACGCCCCTGGTTCCCCGAAAATTGCGCATGTACGATGAGTACTCTCACCGGGATACGTTTAACACACAGTATGTCGGGGTTCCGTATTTGTAACAGTTATCGGTGATATATAATAAACCATTAGTATACTTCCGGGTATTATTGATACCAACTAAGACATTACACCTACGGCCTTAGCTGATTTTGTTGAAAGCTAGATGATACGTGCCTCTTCATGGGCTACCTGAACTCGAGTTGCAGATTCGAACCCTTGCCACCAATTTATTTGAAGTAGGATTGAAATCATATACATTTTTCATCGAAAACTAAGTCTCATCAACTAATTTCTTGGTTTTTATCGTCCCTGATGGTCATAACCAATATAGCTGTAAATTGAACAAAAAAATTATTCCTGTCAGGAAATATCAGCAATTTGAACAAAGGTAGAAGTTGCCTGGAAGCAATTGCAATAAGCCTATTTGTATATAAGCAAGAAATAAGGATACGAAATTTTAAAGTTGCTAGCATGTAATGAATAGATTTCATAGAATAGTTTTTCTATCGTAAGATTATAACTTCAAATGAATGGAAAACATTGCTGCAAAAAGGATGACTGAATAAGCAATTTACAGTATGCGAAAACTACTGTATGAATAGCTTTGTTGCCTTGTGGATCGAAAATGTGTAAATTTTAATCACTTTTACCAATTTCGTGGTTAACAAATACCCCTGTTATCCCAAATCCGATTTACTATCAGATGCGCAGCTCTTTGTGATAGAATACACTGTCTTGTTCAAGCGAAAATGTTGAAAACATTGCAAATTTGGATCTTTATCGCTTTATAACTGAAAACCTTAATCGAATTTTCTACGGATATAATATAAGTTAGGGGATTGCTGTCTCTGCAACTGTTCCCCCCTCCCCCATCTTTTGCGCTTATATCTCAGGTCCAGTAGATCATTGCACCAAAATTTGAACCCTGAAGAATTGTAAAACTGTATCGCCTTTTTGCTGCTAATACTGAACGACAATCAATCACCATGCGGGAACCCTTCATTCTGCCTCCTCCTTCCGCCTTAAGGGTTGATGAAAAGGTGGATCGCACTGCGTCCCGCATCTTGTATAACAGTTCGGCTGCATTTTTTCGCTATTGTAATTATGATTGATGACACGTTGAGAGCTGTTAAAGATTGTTAAAGCCTATTGAAGAAAAAAATATAACGCATCAATGAATTTCAAGGAGGCACAGATGACGGAATGAGGGTTCAAAATTTTGCTAGTCATTGTTTAAATGTTCAAGAGTGCTGATGTTAAGGTGTCATCAACATCACCGTCATCTCAATAATAGAGCACTGATTTCTTTGATTGAGTGGACCTGTTTTAAATGGTGATAATCTCTGTAGGTCCAATATTGGGACTAGAAATATTTACTGAAAAGGCAGGATAAAGTGTCATATTGTCGCCTCCATTTTACTCATTGATTCAGAATACACCTGGTTCAGAAATACCTCAAAAAACAATTATTTGCAAAAATTTGTCTTCGTTGTTTTGTAAATATATTTTCCTGTCTGTGGTTTCATCTATAGATAAAAACAATATGGATATGAGTCATAGATTTTTTTTCTGATCTAAGGGACATATGAGAACTATAAAATGTAAGATTTGTAGTATAGCTGATGGGGTGGAATATTTAAAAAATTGTGGCACTTTCGATTGCTTGCTTATTTTAAATGTGTGTTATCATTATTAGATTCGACGCAAGATTACATGCTCTACCTAAGTCTAAATATTTTTCACGTATTTTTACCTTTGTCCAATGACTTGAACCGGCTGCTGAACAACGGGACAATGGAAATTATATTTTTGAAAACCTAAAATTATGAAAAAGGTTGTCTTCGCAAGTAAGTAGTTTTCGAGACATATGGACATGTTGGTTTTACTATCACCTAAGTGCTTACAGCTTTTACCATAAGATACTCTCAGTTGGCCACCATGTGGCTAATCTTCTTTCTGTTTTTTGACTACGCTGTATTGTTATCTTAATTCGGAATTAAGTCTACTAGAGTAGGTCCCCTACTATATATGATCCGTTGCAAATCATAATGCGAACGCGAATTTACAAAAAAAAAATATATAGGTATAATCCATTGGCCTGCATTTACCATGGTTTAACTGAGATGTAGGATTACATACTACATAAAATGTATTTTGAGTTTCGTGTCCAATCTAAAAATACAAATAATATACAGGACGTTCTAACCAAAATAAGGTGGTGCTACCATTTGGAACATACTTAGTTATACTACAGGGTGCGGCAGAGAGGACGGACGTTTTTGGGATGGGTAGTACTCTCCACCACCGTCTACGAGAGAGGTGGGGAGGGTGCCGTTTGACTCGTGAGATCCTAGCATTATTTTACCAGTAGTCGTTATTGAGCCTTGGACGGTGGAGCACCGCGTTTTCGCCTATGATTGTTTCGTCCGGAATTATGAGTCAGTCATCGTCGTACAGCGTGAGTTTCGACGCCACTTCAACGTTCATCGGAATAGAGATGTTCCCTCTCGAAGCACCATCCTTCGTTGGATTGAATCACTTCGCAGGCGTGGTGAACGGATCAGCAGAAGACCAAGAGGAGCGCCGCGAACAGTTCGAACTCCTGAAAATGTTGAACGCGTTCGACAGGTCTTTCTTCGCAGTCCGACTCGATCTGCCCGGAAACATGCTGCTGCGCTTCGCCTTAGTGATCGTTCAGTAAGGCGAATTTTGCATATGGAACTCTGCTTTCAACCCTACAATTTGGATATTGTGCAACAGTTACAGTCCGGAGATTATGCACAACGAATGAACTTCGCACGTGAGATGGAAGCACTGATCGATCAAAATGAGAACCTCATTTTGTTTATGAGTGACGAAGCCCACTTTCACAAGCCACAAGCCCTGAACTCTGGACGAATTAAAGGGCGAAATTCACGTGGAAGTCGCCCAAGTTGAGGGAGCGATGTTGGAGAGAGTCTACGCGAACTTCCAAGAACGCCTCCAGCACTGCATCAACGGATTTCGGCCACCACATGCCTGATGTGATTTTCCGCACTTGACTGTCTCAAATACTATTTCCTTGTGAACCTGAGTCTATCAATAAATTTGTTTTCGAGTAAAAATTAACTATTTTATGTTTTTTTTAAAACCGTCCATCCTCTCTGCCGCACCCTGTATAAACCGAAATTGTATGAAGTCAACTTTTTAATAAATCGATCGCTGCAGTTTTACGTTGTCGAACTACTGAAATATAAGATTAAAAATTACTTAATTGTTTGTGTTGCACTATTGTTAAAAGGTTCCGTTGAATTTCGTTTTCAACACTGTGGTTTAAAAAAATATTAGGATTCATAAAAATAAATCAACATTGTTGAAAAACGTGTATGAATGTAGAATATATCTTTGTATAGGATCCTAGTTCGATAAAATGTAAAGTGCTCCTGAATGTAAATATCTGCAGGGAACCTCCGACTTGGAAACTTTCTATACCATTTATGTAGTAGTTTGGAGGCCCTTTTATTCAGTAATTGTGTCTGTTGATCGCATTGCTTTTTCACAATTCCTTTTCAGGTTACTTGTGTACAAAGATATGTTTGTCGAATAAGAAAAGTTTTGATGTTTCGATAACAGGGACTTTCACTGTGATTAAAAAAAGTGATTTTGTTTCTAAAGCAAAAACTACTCGCTGAAGTAAGAAAAAGGTTCCTACACCTTGACAAAAGGGCTGTCCTGCTAACAGGGACTGGGAAAAGTTTTAGCGCTACACTACCTGTGTTCGTTTGTCAAATTTTAACTCATTATGAAGAAATTAGTTTAAATTGTAAGTACGTAACATAAACGTGTAGATATGCGCAAATTATTGTTTCAAATAAGTATGTATTAAAATATTATTTTTAAGCTATAATATGGTCAATGCTTTGATCCTATGAAACAGAATGCTGTGGTACAAAATCAATTTATTTATACTGAGATACTATCTATTTTCATATTCAAGATCTAGACTTGCTCACCACCCGCATTAAGTATATAGAATTCATAATGTATGGTTGTTTATATTTGTCAAAGTTTTGTCTTCCACACAGAAACCCTGGGCTTATAATATTTTTACTAGACGATTATCTATGGACTACAGTGACTATATCAAATTTCTAAGTGTCACTTTTTATGGTTCACACCCACGCAAGTGTTCTACCTGTATTAATTTCATAAATTATTAGTGATATTTTCAGTTTCCTTACACGACAGCCAAGTACCAACAGTATACATTACGAGATAAGGTCGATACCTTGAAACGTCTTATCAGTTGACTGTGATGTATCGCTGGTATTTTTCAAATTAAGATCTTTTTTAAAAAGGAAAAGAATAGGCCGATGATTACAATTATTGTAAAAGCGGGCGGGCAGCCAGAGTCGTCACTATACTGAAGCAAAACAGGGCATTTAGTAGTAGTAGTAGTTGTTTAATATAATGATTTCGAATACTTTCGGTCTGTTCATCTATGAGAGCATGGTTTGCTAATATTCTATATTTCATTCATTGGCACACAAACAGGTTAAATTTGAAGTAGGCTGAATTTGTCCGCTAGAAAATGTTTTCATGAGTGGCTTATTTGACATTTATTTAAATATCCCATTCAAATGTATCACCTGTCACTTATCCAGTGGTGGCCATACTGATAATCTTCCATGTTTGTCTGGCCCCTATATGAGACTACATGTGCTTGAAATACTATTTACTGATGACGACGTTTCGGTGACCCCGTGGTCAATTGTACATTTTAGCTCAAGCCATAGAAGCTATAAATGGCCTTCTCTTGTGCCATCTCTGAAGCAGATATTACTTCATATCAAAGCCCAACCGTATAGCGGAAACAAAACGTGATGCTTTCGTCCGTCCG